GAGTAAGGTTTCCAGTTCCTACAAAAATTTTTGTGAGAGCTAAGCTTCTGAAGCTTGTAGCATCCACAGCTAATGTTATAGCTTTGTGAAAAAGGCCTTTCTATTGCGGATATAGCTTATATGCTGGATTACAAAGGAGGAAGCTCCACCGCGAAGAAAATCTTTGTGTGGAGAGACGTCTCCTAGAAAATCCTGCACATGCGATGCGATATGTGGAGAAAATCTCAAGAAAATCACAAGAAAACGATAAACACAGCGTGCACTACCTCAAGCACCGGATCCTCGTCACGACTACTACTCTGTTGTTCTGGCGACCAAGTGACGAATTTGGTCTTGATCGGTTTACGACCAGGCTTCGCCATGAGCCTCAAGTAGTAGAAGCGCTTCTCTTCGCTCATGTCGTCGTCTTCGTCCGGATCGAATCTGATCATTTTGGTGTCGTGGCTTCAACAGTCGTACCATACAGCACTTCGAATACGCATTCCGTGCGCCAGAGTTGCGTTCTGCGGAAGGCGATCAATCGATCGAATACGTTGGTCCTCGTCGCTAGGAAGAGGGTGAACACGGTAGCGAGTGGAGTGGAGCCGATTTGGAAGCCTGATCTCGGTTCGTGATCAATTCGGATCAATCAATTGATGCGGAGTTGGATAGGGAAATCAGTAATTGTTGGCAATCAAGTGAGGTCCGACTGCTGGCGCATGTAGTATAGGAGGATGTCGTGCGATGTCTCTACGGCAGCTGACGGCAGGGACGCAGAGAAACGAACGATGCCGCAGGGGATCACGACCACCGAGGAGATCCCGGATCGCCAAGCTGCCTAGAAGCACGTCGAATCGAGAGGAGCCCGGACGCGATACGGACGAATCGCAGCAGCGGCAAGGTAACACGATAGATCTAAAATAAGAGCAGATCCGATACTTTTTTACCGCACCAACCAGCGAGCTGTTGAGCCGGCCAGAACCAGCGGCTCACGCAGTGCTCTGCCGCAACTGCACTCAGTGGCGTGCTGAAGTCGGAAGCACAGCGATCCTCGGAAAGGTCTAGAAGGATCCAGTACAGAGGCTACGGCATTTTTTACAAGCGCGTCGCATAAGCTTCACAGCTTGAAAGCCACTCTTCCACCATCATTTTAGCAGCCAGCTCAATCTGTTCTTTCGCTTATACACCATTATAAGATTTTCCAATACCTCGGAATGTGTACCATTGCTAATCAAACTGGTACACGAGAAAATCTGCTGCGTTTTCTAGCAAAGCTTTATAGCTAGCATTACAAGTGTTAATGTGCAGCCATTACTTTCGCTGCAATCCCTACATGATTTACTAATTGAATCACGGTACCCTAAAATTTTGCAGATAAATCCGTTTTTGACCCATATAAGTCCGCCCTATGGAAAAGTCCTTTTTTCCATCATAAGTACCTTATAAACTTGTCAGATAAGTCCTAAACTGTCAGATAAGTCAACCTTATCTGGAAATGGACTTATAACCTTTTGTGCTGCGATTACACAGCTTTTATCGATGCGTCTTACTGCAGGACCGGAAGCTAGCTACTGCAAACATCATCTGTTTTTAGCAATCGCATACTCATTTACATCGGTAGAATCGGGTGTCGAAGGGGCGAAAATTCACTGACACTTGAATTGCTCCCACATATGTCTCGACCACATGCAATGCCAAGTTTTTCTCGTATTCGGCAGCGCGTTGTAATGCGAAATGACGTAAGCGCTCTTCGAAACCTCAATGCACAGTGTTTGCAAAGTAACTTCCTCTCTGAGGAGTGGCTTTCTCTCTCTTTCTCTTTCTCTCTTTCTCTCTCTCTC